TACACCAAAGTATTAGGAAGATGAAAAAGTACAGTTAACCCGACATGACTGTAATAGAATCATTATTACTAATGTCATTATAAATACAGATTGACACCCCATTCATCAATGAAGAAAATTTCAAGACAAAAATATACAATAAAATTGTATATCAAATTAAGAATGTTTGGTCACTGAATTGGACACAAGGAAAACTTTTCTTGTTCGCTGCTGGTGGTTCTATACAAAAACTCTCAATCCTTTGAATAAAAATGTTTAAAACAGAAAAGATGCTGAGAGTTCTCGGATGAGCAAAGAGAGGAATTTATTTTTGTATACACCAATTATACTTAAAAAATAAATAAAAGGAGACTCTTTTTTAACCAGTCAAAATTAACTACACTATAATGAACTTCAAAGTGAACTTCAACTTTCTAAATTAAATCAGCTTTTCTGATCCTTTCCAACTACCTATGGAATGAAGACACTTGTGTCCAAATTTAAAACAATCACAGTTGATGTCAAAAGTTAGCATGCAACCAGTGATATAGCACATGGGAGTAGAACTCATGCTTTGTAGGCTGGAGACCTGTGTTTTATGTTTCATGTCTTCATGGTTTCATGAGCATTACCGTGAGCAACAGAGCACAGAGCTGGAATAACCTTTAACCAACACCTGGTATGAACCCCGCACAGTAAAAACAAATAAATACATAATTAAACAGGAAAACCCTTTATAACCAGAGAGAAAACTCAGCAGACTGAAGCAAATGTTCTGCACACAGGAATCACAGTTATGATCTCTGGTAACATATTTGCCAAGCAATGTCTGGAACAACCCAGAGCACACTTCCTCGTCCCAAACCCCTGAGCACTGCAGGGTGTGGACAAACAAATAAATGAAGCAAACAATGTAGCACATTACAATGGGTCCGTATATTTTTCAGAAATGGTGTAACCTCTTAATAATAGTTGAGGGGCAGGTAAACTTAGATTTTACACCCTTTATATAACTTGAAGATTATAGAATGTGGTTTTTAAAGGTCAGAGTGAATTAATAATTAAATGAGGGAATTCTAAATTAGCAAATAAAACTGCTTCTCAGAATAATGACCAAGGAGTAATTCATTTTAAAGAAAAATGGCAGAAAAATGGATCCAACAGTAAAATTATTTTTTAATTAGTTGCCATAAATCCTTTGGATAACTAAGAAATGGTTAGACATCATTCCATCTATTTCTCTTTAGGCTATACCATTTAATAAACAACATTTTACATTTTTCTAGGAAGGCACAAATCAAGGCAGATTTCCATCTGCACAATATATATAACAGTGTTCTACCTTATTAAACCTGCGCTGAATACCAAGCCATGAACTGCAGTTTTGCCGAAAGTCTTCAACTTTCCTGCACCTGTAGGCTGGCAGTGGATGAAGAGGCTGATCTATAGGGACTCAGAACAAGCTGTGACTTTTTCTTCATCTTTTACTCAACGTGTAAATAAGGGTTATATACTATAGACAGAAATTCATACTGATTAATCTTAAATATAAATCACTGGCAAGTTTTAATCCAATGCCGACATCTCCTGCTGACGACAGCTTCTTTAAAATCTTTTTTTTTTTGTTTTCTTTTTAGGTCCTACCCAGCCATATACAGGGATTACTCCAGGGTTTGGGCTCAGGAATTACTCCTGGCGATGCTCGGGGCACCATATGGGATGCTGGGAATTGAACCGCTGTGGGCGGCAGCGTGGAAGGCATAAGCCCTACCCCCTGTGCTATCGCGCTTCAGCCACAGCTTCTTTAAAATCTTGAGAAAACCTTTCTGCCTTTCTGTTTTGTTTCCAGATACTTTTTGTTTCTGCTGGTCCCATATTTACCAGTCTCGAGTTTGCTGTTCTCAATCCACACTGGAACTCATTGGATTTTATTTCTCATCCACATATGAAAATAGTTAAAGTTAAATTTGTCATCATTGATATTATAATGAAATATCCATATTATCTTAAGTTAGAAAACAAACTTTAGTAGAATTATACAGAAATTTATATTTTAAGCATCTCATATTTATTATAAGCTAATCCACACCACAAACCAATGAGGTAGTTTAGCATGACTTCAGCATGAAGAAATTAGTAAGAAACTGAAAAAATATCTGTTCTACCATATATTGATCAGACAACAATCCAATAACATGTACAAAGCAATTGGCCAAATGGACAAAAAATATTTTTCTTGATTGGAATATAGAGAAAATAGTTATTTTATTACCTGACCATTTAGAAAGTTGTTGTTGTTTTTTTTACTGGAGTTCCAAACCATTGTGCTTTCTACTGAACTGTCAGAAATACCTCACTCAAATACCAACTTTGGGAGTAGTGTGCCAGTCACCCTACCCCACCCTCCAAAGTTCAGATTTCACTGAGAGGAATACTGATGAGTGTTTTGCATTTAGCTTATATTTTTTTGTTTTCTTGGTCTAATCGGTATAATAAACTCATGTCAATAGAAAGGTTAAAAAATTGTTCCAAGGTTTTTATGTTGTTCCAGTTTATGCTTATATGCTATGGCTTTGGTCTTTGTAGTTAAACAAATGCAGATGAGGGTTTTATTAGTACTTTTATCAGCAAAAGAAATAACTATGGTTCTTTTTACCTAACAGATTGCACTGTGATCATATTTATTAGTGTACTGGGATGCAGAGACTATATAATTAAAGCTCACTAATGTGGGTTTCATGACAAAGGCATTTGTGGCCACTTGCACAGGTGCTTTGCCTGAAGCTACCTTTATTCTTAAATAATTTTTCAAAAAGTCTCTGCAAAGATTGTGTTAGGTGAATCTTAGGAGTGCTTTATCTTTATAAAATGTATGTGATTTCAAGCATTTAGCAAGTACACTGATAAACGCCATGAGAAGCCACCTTAATGAGACCATTACGCTTCTATATTATGTAAATTTTGAGTCATCCTTTTCCCCCAACAGAGCAAAACTTCATTGGTGCTGCTAAGTTATTTTAGTTGATATTGTTACAGGTATTCTGGTAAAAGTACCTTAAATACTGATAAAGAGGATAATGCCATCTTTTCAAATGGATTGGGTTCTCTCTAGTTCAATTGAATAAAGATTTATAGAAAATACCTAAACTGGTTTTGTTTTCGATGGAGTCTCTCTAATCTCAAGGGCCTTCAAGAACCACTTTTCTGTGCCAGCAGGTATGCATGGCTTTCTTCCCTACTGATAAGAACTATTTGGCTGTTTTGAAGAAAACGTTTACTTTGCATCTCACTCCCATCTGTTTACAAATATTAGAAGGCTAAATGAGTCCCAATTAAATAAATACAAGCATTCTCCACTTTCCCAAATAAACAACATATTGGTAAAACTTAATAATGATACCAACAAAAGAAGCACCTGGTCAGAAAATGGGGAGAAGAGATAAACAGACATTTTCTTAAAGAAGATGAACAGTTGGCCAATAGATATATTTAAGATAATGCTCCCCATCACTTCATCAGGGAAATCCAAATCAAAATGATGAGTAATCACCTCACACCAGCGAGACCAGCACACATCAAAAAGAACAAAATCAGCAATGCTGCCATGGATGTGGAGAAAAAAATGGGATCCTCATTCACTGTTGATGGGAATGTCTCCTGGTTCAGATTCTTGGGGGGCGGGGGGGGGGGGAATGACACATCTGAAAATAACTAGAATTGAGTTTCTATGCGACTCAGCAATTACACTTCCTGATACCTACCCCATCCGCAGAGAAACACTATTTCCAAAAGACAGCTGTGCTCCTATGTTTGTTACAACACTGTTTACAGTAACCAAGACCTGACAGCATCCTGAGTGTCCAAGATGACTGATAAAGAAGTGGTGGCATATGTATGTTTCAGACTACTGCTTGACCAGAATAAAAAGGTGAAATCATACAATGTGCCATTAGAGGACAATGCTAAATGAAATTTAGTCAGATAAGCTGGAGCGATAGCACAGCGGGTAGGGCGTTCGCCTTACAAGCGGCCAACATGGCCGACCCGAGTTCGATTCCTCCGCCCCTCTCGGAGAGCCCGGCAAGCTACCGAGAGTATTCGATATGCCAGACACAGTAACAACAAAGTCTCCAGTGGAGACGTTACTGGGCCCGCTCGAGCAAATCGACGATCAACGGGAGGGCCTTTACCTTTACCTTTAAAGAAATGACATCTCTCATATATGGGACATAGAAGAAAGTAGGGAATAAACAAGTGGCCAAAGGCAACAGAAACTTAGGCTGCTCTATAGAACTCTGCTTAACAAAGTAAGGGGTAGGCTAGGGCTTGGTGAGGGACGCTAAAGCTCTGCTGGAACATTTTCTGCATGAAAGCCTATTAGTAACAGCATGGCACCTCAAGGTGTCTCAATGTAAGGGCAAAATCACCAATAGCACAGATTCCTGAGTAGGGATGTTTCCATTCCAGAGTTCCCTTGGTCAAAGTAACATCAATATATCATTTTTTACTTAAAGCTGAATATGTCTTGAGAATGATAGTTTACTTTATATACATGGCATAAACCTCCTGCAGTGTTTTCATTTTAGCTTGTCAGGTAGCAAAGCAGCAATTGTATTTAAATGAGGAATTCTGGAATCTGACTGCTATATCTGGAAGCTATAAGGAATTTAGTCTAATCTCCTAGTAAAGCAAAAGAGATCTAGCTTCAGAGGTTCATCCATTTTAACTTATTTTTAAAATATATAGTCACTAAACACAGTAAAAACAAGAACTTTGTTCCTTTTTCTTTTACTTAGCACTTATTTTACAGCAGAATTGACAAACGTTTAATGTACACATTAGAAGAAAAGTCATCATTAGAGGTTTGACGGTCTAGGGTGTGCTTTCCAGAACAGAAGATAGAGTGCTTTCCATCGGAGCCGCCTTCCTCCTAGAGGACAGTGCATGTGTGCTGGCTTTCCTCAGAAGGTAGGAGGACTGTGAGCCCTGGTTCATCCTGAGTGGGCCCTGCCCAAGGGAACGGTGCCAAACCTCAAACACCTTAGGAACACTGTGCACTTCAAAGTTGTTTCATTTATTGCTCACTGAGTTGTAACCGCCTCAGCTCTGTGTGGAAAAACAATGGAGGTCCAGAAAACTCTGCCACTAGGAAATCAATTACCATAGTCACAATATCCAAAGGGGATCCCAGCCAGACACCAGATGGGTACTTAGAAGCATCATAAATAGAAGGTAAATAATCTTGCTTTGTAGTCTGCCCGCAAAACACCAAATTCAGACATGATGAAAAAGGACGAAACTGAGACAAGGAACTTTGAAAGTTATACTTAGAGGCTTTCCTGGTCAGTGCGGTTCTTCTGGGCAGCTGCTGGTCACTGGTGTCATCTCTAAAGTGACTGAGTGTTGTTGCCGCAGCCAGAGGACTTCAGTGTGAAAGCAAGGAAACAGGCAATCTCACCGTATCCGAGGATGGCATTTGTTTAAAACATTCCACTGCATTCCAAACCCTCAGTATTCCACATACCAGCTCACTATTTAGGCCAAATTCATTGAAATTAATTTCCATCGCATTCTGAAGTTTATAGTTTTTTTTTTCCTTTTTGATACCGTTGGGAAAACATTTCGTCAAGGTCAACAGCTATTAAAACATTTTTGCCTAGGAAGATCACCATGCAGGCAAACTTAATTCTTTTCCTAAGCTATTATTTTGGCAGCTTGCAATGAGAACTTGGCTTAACCTTGAGAAATTGCTCTTTGAATGATCAGAAAAAAAATACAGATGTGGAGTCTTTATTTACCCTACTCATTCTCATTCTTCGGATGGCAGACCTGGCTCACATTTAGAAGTGCAATGAGAAAGGTTGGCATTTATGTCCATTTTCCATGAATAGTGATTTGTTCTGCTCTGTATATTGCTACCATAATTCACATTCAATGCGGAAAAAAAATCCAATGGAGATGTTTTACATCACAATCATCAAAGATTTTATAGAATAGTTATTCTTGAAGAAGTCTTAAATAAATTATAAATGAAGATTTTCCACTGTTTCAATGATATTCCTACTGTTCGCTATAGGATTATAATTTAAGATGTGTGCTAAATATATTGTCATGAAGAATAAAAAAAATTCATTCAAAGTCTTAACTTACCACAAAATTAAAAAAAGAAACTTCAGTTGCTCTCCAAAACTAAAATTAGTCATATGTTAATTTGTGAATCCTCATAAGAAATGTTCATTGTTCAAGAAAGAAGCCTCCTCGGATGATAAGCAAATCTCCATGGCAGAGAAATCCTGAAATTTTTCTTACATCTTGATTGATGCTTCACTACTTATTCTTCAGGCTATAAGACACAAGGGAACACAGTCTTACCTTCTTTTATAATTACATATCCCTCTCTCTCTTTTTCTCTCTCCTTCCCTCACTCTCATCCCTCTCCCTCCTTCTCTAAACCCTCTTCCTCAACATTCCATCACAATAACTGTCCAATTAATATGGAACTGAGTTTATATGATGAATATTTTAAGTTCTAAATAACCTGTTTCAACAACAGGTCAATTATCAATGCCAATTATAGTTTAATTACTAGGCTCAATTACTAATGTCATCTTCAGACATTTCAAAGAAAATATAAACTTCTTTTTTTTCTTTTTGGGTAACACCCAGCGATGCTCAGGGGTCACTACTGGCTCTGCACTCAGGAATTACTCCTGGCGGTGCTGGGGGGACCATATGGGATGCCAGGGATTGAATCCAGGTCCAAAGCATGCAATGCAAATGCCCTCATTCACTGTTGATCTTAGTTGATTTCCCACTGTATTATTGCTCCAGCCCCCAAAATATAAACTTCTATATTGCTAACCCAGACACAAAATTCATTCCAAAGTTATTACGATAAAAATAAAATATTAATATTTTTGTTGTGAGTGTTTTTATTATTGGGTCACACCTGATGATACTCAGAATTTCCTCCTGGCTCTATGATCAGTTGGGTTAGGGGACCATATGAAGTGCCAGGGATGAAATCCAGGTGGGCCAGCTGCATGCAAGGAAAACATCCTATCCACTGTACTATCACTCTGAACCCAGAATAAAAAGAAAAAATATGTCTCTGGTTTACTCTCCACAGGTACCAATTTAAATTAAATAGATAACCTTCACTAAAGGGTTTTGAATTTTTATTTTTCTTTATAGCAGGAAGATACTACCATTAATGGAGGCCTGCTATTTCTCAAGAATTTCACATTTATGTCTAATTATAATTTAATTTTCATAACCACCTTAATGTTGCTTTCATCTCTTCCCCTGTGAAAAGTGAGTAGACTGAGGATAACATTTTTAATTGATGGCTTGAATGCTGAGGTTGAACAGTTGAAACTTGTGAAAGATCAGCAAAAGAAGGCAAAATTTATCTTTTGATAGTAATATCAAGAAATTTTACTCATGCATTGAAAATATCTTTTGATAGTAGAAAGAGGTGACTGCTAACCTAAAGTTATACTTTAGAGAAAGTAAGGGTTGCCACAGTGCTGGTCACGGTAATAGTCCTTGCCCATTATTTTTAACCTTTCTCACTAAGATAAAAATATTTTATCAGAAGTCTGGTAAATGATAATTCTCAAGATACAAAGAAAAACTCAGCTTGTTTCAAATAAATAAATAAATACACAACATATCTTAAAAGCTTATTTTCTAAGAAAAAGTACAAAATGGCCTAATAAAAAATAAAGACATTATTACTGGCATAATACAGACAAAATGAAAATGGAGACTGCATGTATATTTTTATAAAAATAGTTTGGGGTTGACTTTGGAGGCCAAAGTCAAGTTTTCATAACTGTTTTTGAGGAGGAGGGAAGAAGGGCTGAGCTATACCTGACACACTCTGGGCTCTGTTCAGAGATCATTCCTGACAGCACATAAAGGGGACTAAACCAGGATCAGCTATATGGAAGGTTAGCACTTCAATCACTGTATATCTCTCCAGCCACTTTTTAATAACACTAAAAATCCTATCGTAGAATCTTATTCTTTTTCTTTCCACCACAATCAGGGGCTGTTGTCATCTCCCAAATTAATGTGACATAATGGTTTGAAACTTCTCATTGAAAAAAATATTATTGCATTTTTATAACTGCAAGAACAGCTTTCAGATTAAAATGCATTTGAAATACAGCATCATCAAGTAATAAGAAGACCGAACATCAGCACTAAACAGTCACCAGTCATGATTACATAGTTGAAGCAAACTAGATGATTTTTTTTCTTATAGTAATAGTGGGTATATTAAGAATGTATTCTCATCATGAGTAAAAATATCACACTATTTTATAGTTAGGATAATTACTCAGATCTTTTCTGAACCCATATACGTAATGACAAATTAAAATGCCTTTCAATTCCATATAGCTTTTATAATTATTCATCTGTTGCTGTTATTATTGCTGGAAAGACTCTCATATTTTAGTCAGCATTCCATTTGATACAAAAGAACATGGAAAATTTTACTGCTATTAATAAATATGCAGCCATCGAATCCAAAAGAAAATTCTTTTTTATCTGAGAGATAAGCTGAATAATTCATGTATTTTCAGAAATTTCCTTAAATAGAAAATTGAGTAAAAGCATAAGAAAAAGAATTATTATGTACCCTTCATTTATGGTGGGACAATCTTTGTTCCCAGCCTGAAACCTGATTCAATTTGAAGAGACAAAATCAACTGCATTGTATAAATATCAATCATGCTCAAAGAGCTCCTTTATTTTTGACACTAATCATTTATAAAATTGATGGCAATATGGCCTCATTTCTCTTTATTAAAAAAAGAAAGAAATTGAAGGTTATGAGGGAGTTTGGGTTGGTTTTGAATGCAGTTATAGACAATCTGATAACTCTTTGGAATGACTACATCTGTCTTCCCAGAGAGAATGTTCCACATCAGGGATTTGCTGTGCTCCACCTACTTTCCATGAGCCCAGTCCCTGCCAGGGGCTGCCCAAGAGGGATGTGATGGTATGTAGCACAGGTTGCATTCCAAAGACCCAGGAGAGATGACGATGATCTACAAGAAGGGTTATATGAAAACAGAACAAAAAGGTTCTTTCAATTGGCCAGCCCTTTTGTTACTCTGTCCTAAGAGGGAAATGCTCTGAACTGAATATAATGCAAGTCTTAAGTGCACTGGTAAGAACTTCTTAAGACCTGAGAAAGAGTCGTAGGTACTGAAATTAATCTCCTGCCACCAGTAAAAATGGCTGGAAATCCATGCAGTCTTCTGGAGATACTATGGAAGTTAAGGGAAAGCCTGGAGGAAGCAGTCTGTCTGATGGGAGTGTCTGATGAAAAAGGCAACCATTGGTTCTTTGATCTCACAAAGAATTAAAAAGATGTGGTAAAACAATTAAAAAGCAAAACAGAACAGCCTCAGCCATGATCAAACCTAGTTTCTGACAACCAGGTTGGAAGCTGACAGTGTCAGAAAAAAAATGATATTGTGGAGCAAATCTTATATGAAATTATACACCCAAAATGTTTTACATGAGAATCATGGCTCACACACATTTTTTTTCTGCAAACATGTTGCTAAACAGTCATGACCCTGAAATTGCTTAGTCTGAGGCCATGCGTGAATGCATCCAGGTCACCTTTGCTCAAGTCAGTAAGAACAAGAAGAAATCAAATTTAATTACATTTCCAAAAGTTAATGTTTTCTACTTTCTTTTCTTTCTTCCTTGCATTTGTGCTAACATTCCCTAGAAGATAACGATTCCAAAACAAGGATTCCATACTTTCCCAGAATTATTTTTTTACTTATTTCACAACTAACTATATATATGTGTATATATATGTATATATACTTCCTATTTAACTTATAAATGCTACTTAGCATTTATTTCCCATGCTTTAGCCCATTTCCCAGACATTTTACTGGTTTACTCTTTTTTTTATTTTCTTTCATTTTTTTTTGGTGGTAGGGCACGTCTAATAGTTCTTAGGGTTCACTTTTGGCTCCCAACTCTGGAATCACTCCCAACTTTGGAATCAGTGCTCAGGGAATCACATGCAGTGCTGGAGATCAAACCCAGCGCTGTCACATACAAGGCAGACATACACCTTTCTCTCTGTCCTCTCTTTAGCACTTGCATTGCTCTTCTCTTATGCATTTTCAGAACAAGTGTCTGCATCATTATTGACAGCATAGAAATTTCTAGTGCATATATGCCAGACACAGTAACAACAAAGTCTCCAATGGAGACGTTACTGGGCCCGCTCGAGCAAATCGACGATCAACGGGAGGGCCTTTACCTTTACCTTTACCTTATTAGGTAAAACTTTTTTTAGATTGTAATGCTTAGTAATTTGTGTTTCATCCTTGCAAAGGATGTTATTTATCACTTTCATTCCAAATTTAGCTGTATTTTCTGCTGAAGTGAGCACTAAATTTGTAATAGACAAAGGTCACTTGACTCCAGTCTCTGCTTTCCTTTCCAATTCCATGATTTTCTGCGTCACCTGAAACTCCAATTACAGAGATCAGTTGACATTTCCAAACATGCCATGCCCTTCTCAGGCACTTGTGTGGTGTGGAGAGGCTCTTCTTCTGCTCTTAACTCAGCATTTTGACTCCTTTGCTGTTCTCTATTCTTTGTAAACATATTTTTAAAGATGGTTTTTTCCTGAACTAACCCTGACTCAAGAAACCATACTGGAAAAATATTGTGAGCAAGTACTCGAGAGTGGAGGGAAAAAACTCAAGAAAGGTGTCCATGCTACAGGAATTATGCCACAGAACTGTGCCAAAGACAAGGAAGTGATGCATTCTGTTTCTATGAAGGATGTGTGGTAGGAAAGTAAGATGTTTTAAGGAAGAAAGGGGGAAGAAAAACTAAATGTGGAGAGAGACCAATATGAAGTGAGAGAGGACAGATGACAATGTTCTGTGTATGGTATTGTCTCCGGATGAGGGCCAAGTCTTCTGAAACTGTCTAAAGAAATACTTTTAAAGTTTTCATTGTTAGTGAAACTGATTGATATAATATGATTTAATGGGGAAGGGGGAATGGAGTTAAGGAAAATTACACAAAGTTAGAGGGGAAGAAAGATATGGAAAGGCCACAAATCAATGGGAGTTAAAATAGCAGGCAGGCTTTGAATTGTAAACTGTAAAATATTTTTGGTACCCCTAAACTAATCCAAGATGACTGCAAGTGGAATGAGGTTCACCTGATTTCTTTGATTTCTAGATAACAAAAAATACATTCAAACACTTCTAGAAAAAAACAATTATATGTATTTATAATCAATTGAATCAAAAAGTTAGTTAAGAGATGGGAAGACAGCTC